TTGATGGACTGAGAGTCAGGCTTCAATGGCTCTTCCCTAATGTGGCATTTATGGCGCTCTCACGCGGGAGCCTACCTAGCAAGGTGATGCTGTTGTGGTGCGTGCGGGAGTGTGTTTCGCGCACACAGCCTGCGCCCTCCCTCACCTCCAGTATTCTCGACTGTTGTCTTGACGTCGGATCTGTATCTGGGTAGCTCCGGCGAGTTAAGTTTCACTATAATTCAACTGTAGTTACTGCGTCTGCTTGTGATGGACATCATAAGGAGCGACGGTCAAACTGCCGGTACGCGAAAGTGCAGTCTTTATGACAGTCCTTATTCGTGGGATCAGAGTCAGGTCTGGGTTAGAAAAATGTGTACGTACTTTAGAAGGCAGCCGATAAAAAAAAGTTGGCACTTTGGGCCGGTAACGTTTTACCGCATGCATACAGTAAATGCTTTATCTCACGAAACGTCTTGTCGATTCGAATTAATTACTTTAGTTGTGTCGTAATAAGAACCCTTGTAGAGCCTAATCTCAAGATATTTCGTTGAGCGAGATTCCTTCTGATAGCCTGCAAAAACTATATTCTATAAAAAGGTTTATACAGAAGCAGGACGCATTTCCATCATTTATTTTCACTGTATTTATAAATTCAAATACATTTCATAGGAAAATACGCATTTTCAGGTTATCCTATCAGGTTCAAATGCCTTAGAAGCCTACATTTCATGGTTTTACTCTAATCTCGAAAATTGCAAGCGAGGAACCAAAAGAAGAAAACCAACGGGGGGGCCAGAACCGACACCCTGGCGAGCGATACCTTATATTGCTGATGTATCTGAAGAATTCGCTCGACCGGTCAGTGAATTTGGGATTGACGTCGCTCACAAACCGAAAGCAACAATCCGCAGGAAATTCATGCAGCCTAACGACCCATTACCCGTTAACCAAAAGTCCAATGTCATTTACCGCATCGACTGTCTTTGTGATCAAGCCAATTATGTTGGTGAAACCAAGAAACGGGTTCTCAAAAGAATGCACCAACACGAACTCGCCGTGCTACGGAAGAACTAGCTTTCCTTGGTAGCGGCCCACGCATCCACGCCAGGTTACGGTTTCGACTTCAAACGCGTGCGAATACTGGGTTGGTCAGAAGACCGAACTTCTCGCCCGCTGCAGGAAGCATGGAATTCACGTGCGGATTCAATTAACAGGCATATCGATCTTCCTGATGCCTACCTCGCTTTGCGCGAGCAGATCGAGGGCAGAGGTCACTTCCGGCAGAACTGAGTTAAATATGCAGAGCTGTACATTTTTTCCGTCCTTGAAAATGAGCTCGCTGGAGGATTCGAAAGGTCGGACAAACAAACCATTGGTCCCAGAAAACGTTTTCCTTCTTCTATACAGAATCTATATACGACTGTGGCCAATTCGTGGGTACTGTTTGTGCAGTTCTTGTTTCCTGTTGGTTATATTTATCATTTTACTTATCACGCGACTTAGTGTTGCCAAACATATGGTTATCTAAATAATAATTCCTATTATTTACTAAATTACTACGCTCTATATTTTAACTATTTTTTCCTTCCCCCTGACATGCCCCACCCCTATAATTCCTGTTAACACCGGTCCCGTATTCTGACATTGTGGTGTTACTTAGAAGGAGTCTTTACCAATCTCTGGTGCACACATGCCCATCGGCGTCGAATTATTAAT